TGAGAACTTTAATATATGTGTAATAAAGCCCTAAATTTTTTTTTTGATCCACCACCTAGAACTCGAGAAAAAAATTCACAAAAAAGCTTATTTTTTCGACGCGCCTGGGTAGTGTAACCCCTTAATAAGGAATCAAATTTAAACACATTGAAAACTCATTTAAGTAGATCATGAATCTTCAAGCGATTAACATAGATCACGTAAAAATAAATATCATCCAGCTATTAGACAACTACTCGGCTGACCTTTTAATTTTCTACTCACTTTGATGTTTGATTTCATTTCGCTATATCAATAATTGGCAGAAATTACACAAAGGTTTGAAATTTTATCGCAATGATAAGTCAGTAGGCCAAAAAAGGAACAATATATAGGGTGTCTCGTACTCAATGGTACAGCGCTTGTGGGAATTAGGTAGTGTGGACCAAACTGAACAAAAAAGTCCTTTACCATTTTGCGATCTTCGCAATAGTTATCGAGATACTAATCATTAAAAAAAAAAATTACGCCAAGTATATACAAGTGTATCGTACATTAGGTACATCTTATCTAAATCAAAAATATTATTTTAGTGAATAAAAGTTGTCCAAAAACAAATATGAGATCATACAAATGTAAAATTGTCAAGTATATTTGATTAGACATAGAGAGTATATAAGAGACAAAAATATTTTATTCCAAACCAGAAAAATATTTTTTAAATAAATCGTTTAAATTATTCAAAATTATATGCAGCAAAAGTTTAATTGTCTTTCCAAATAACTTTAAGTTTCGTAAAACAGACTTAAAGTTATTAAAATGATCAACTGCAGAATCTGTTGATCATTTTGATCACATACTGAAGCAAAAACTTGGCCATTATGTAAAATTTTTTCTTTTTGTAAATGATTAGTATCTCGATAACTTAGTATCTCGATCTGTATTCAGCAAAATTTTTAAATCTTCCAACAAAATCAAGCAAAATCGTTCTTTCCATGTCGAGAGCCCCCCGGGAGGCCGTCCAGTCCGCCCTCTCTCAAATCCGGCATTGGACTGTAGAGTGTGGAAAGGATAGGCTGGCGACTACATTGATACATGGGCCCACGTGATTCACGTTCCGTATGTCTATGCTACGCGTATGTACATACATACGTGGCCTCATGTATCAGTGTGGTTGTGTAGTTTATCCCCTTTACATGTTGCCGGTCTATTCTCTCCACATATTGTCAGCATGCTGCAAAAAGCTGTCAATGGTACTATTGGCACTTCTGGACTAACTGTCGCAACATGTTTGTGATCGACTTGCGACTATTGTAGAACTAATGAAAGCTGGTTCGCGAGCTGGCACCGTTGATGTCAACGGTCGATGCATCCATGGTAGAGTGTAGACATGGATGCATCATCCCTTCTTCTATCCCCTCTCCCCTTCGTTTCGTTAAATGATTCAATCCGCGGACGTCGGACCTTGGATTCGACCCTGTCGTTTACTCGAGTTTCTAATTTCGGAATCATTTGGGAATCGAATGCCGTTAAATAAAGAAAAAAAAAAAGTTATTTTCGGAATGTCGATGGAAGATCACGTTTACTGATTCAGAAAAAAAATCAGAAGAGACTTTAATCATTAATCGATGAGCTGACGCAAAAGGTCGCTTGTTCTAATTGCTGTCGTCGATGCGTCACTGATCGCAGAAATGACGTCATCCGCTATTTATGTAATGACCCGTGAATGATAAAGCAGTTAAAAAAAAATCGAATATAAGAATGAGAGCAATCGTTTTCTGTAGTTTTTTTGCGCTAAATACGATCTTTTACCAAACTGCTCTATCGATTTTTTTTAAATTTGTGATTAAATGTGCAAAAAGCACTATTTTACTTAAAATAAATTTTATTGTCACATTACAATATAATAAATATCTTTTTAACTATAATCGACAAATTCCTGTTAAAAGCTGAATGCCCTAACATTTAATTTTGAATGCAATAAAACTTCTCCAACACGTCATACGTCGTATTTAAAACAAAAAAAGTATATTAAAGTGTCAAAGTACATTAAAATAGTCCATTTTTGTTATATTAACTGTAAACTCAAAATTATGATGTGAGAGAGCAGTTTAAAGCTATAGCGCTCAAAAAATTTCAAAATTATATTCGTTCTTGTGCATTTTTGTTGTTGTTGAATAGTAATATTCCCTGTGCAAGAAATAAAGCAATAAATCTGCACATTAAATTGAAACGTACTCTTAAAAAAAATTTTATTTGCGATATTTTACAATAAATAACGTGTATTTGCATCAACTTAAACGAGATATTATAAAAACGCCTAATAAATACGTTCCTTAGAATAGCAATGATTGTTGATGAGAAATGAACAAATAAAACGAATTACATGAGCAAATTATTTGACTGGAGAGTTATACATCGCATAGCTTACTGAGTGTATGCATTTCTTTTTTTACAACATTACGATTCACAAAGTATTTATTCACGTAAGTTTCTATCAGTTGTTTTAATTTCTAAATTTGGCATTACGTGATATTATATTATTATAAGTGATGGCTGTATTGATAAATTATATTGTAAAACATATGTGAGTTTTATCTCAACAAATTATTTAGAATAATCCTTTAAAATATAATCAAAATATTATATACAATTTCGATATTACAGATTTACTCAACTAACATCTCTTATTATATTTTAGTTAAACGTATATATTTGTATTATAATAATTATTAATATGTTTAACACGTTACTAATACATATGTTTTTGAAGCATTAAGAGTTGAGAGCCAACTTCCATTAATGAAGAATAGAAAATTGGCGATTAATCTTTCAATATTACATCCAGTAAAATTGTTGGAGAGCCGAATCCCCTAGATTCGTATTTCTTAATATTTTATATGATTACAAGTGTAATCAATTCCAGGAGGAAATTACTAGGGCAATTCAATCACTAGAGCAAATTAAATTATCTCAATTTTTATCTCAGAGGCACTGACGAAATAGATGTCATAGATGTTAACGAAGACGGACCGGAACTAAGATTAAGTTTATCCAATTCTTCATCCGCTTTGTTGTTCTTCAGATCCTGTTGCGTGTACAGGAACTTGTTCCATTCGTCAATTCTTGGATGAGCTAGATGCTGTGATTAAAAGAAAAATTAAGTACAATGTTCCCACGTAAGTTTCAATACGCAATATTATCAAAATCAGAGACGTAGACTTTCTTATGAAGGATGCGGAGCTTTTCACAACCAGAGCTGTCGTGGGTGTCGAATTCCACACCCAGAGCTGTCGTGGGTGTCGAATTCCACACCCAGAATTTGGGGTATTTAAAAAAAGATATATACTTTAATTTTTGACAAATTTTAAGAAATTTTGAGTGAATTATCAAAAAATAGTATCTAACTAGGGTGCTCACGCTGCATATATATATATATATATATATATAAAATTGGCTAAATTTAAACTCGTATCTCAAAAACTATTACTTAAAATAAAAATTTACAAATAGTTTTATTTAATTTTTTGAAGACTTTCTTGCTATGATATTTTGATTCGCGAATTTCGGGACATCCTGTGTGTATGTGTGGGTGTGTGTGTAAACAATATATTTCGCACATACAATAAGAGAGATAAAATATTTGTGATAATGAAACCACCCTTTCTTTGCTTGGATAAGGTACTCCACACCTAGAAAAGTTAAAAGCCTCCATCCCTGGTAATATTATATAAAATTATATATGAACAGTCGAGAAACTCTTCAAAATTATCATCGTACGTACCTCGGCAACATCGTAGACCCATATTTTACCAGTATCGTCACCGACAGTCACGTGCAGTCCGCTTGGCGTCCACGATACCCTGTTCAAAGCGGGGCATCCGTCGACGACAACGCTGGCGGTGGGTACCTCCGTGTCCTGATTCAAATTCCACAAATCCAGCCTACCGGAATCGTCAACAGCGGCGAACAGCGCCGGGTGCGTCGGGGACCAGGCGACATCGTAGACATAATCGCCGTTATGCTCGAAAGAGTAGAGCGGTTTGTTCTCCTTCAGGCTCCAGAGTTTGATGGTCCAGTCAAGAGAGGACGTCAGAAATAGATGCGAGAAGTCTATCCCGCCCTGCACCGCGTGCGCGCTAATGCCAGTGACCGGCCCCTGATGACCTTCGTACGTTTCAGTCAATCCGGCGCGGCTACCGTGTCGGCAGGCTATTCGACGACAAAATGTTAAAGTTAATAATTCATACAGTTTACTTTCTTCATACATACTCTCTTCATACGTACGTGGCTTCAATTGTACTTACCTGAGTAAACGGTGCCGTCCTCGCTTCCCATGACGAAATTGTTAACGTCACCGTGCGGGAAAGCCAAGCACGTGGCGGCAATCGCTTTCGATTGCTTCGTGTGTAATTCCAGTGCCTCTTGCGGCTGTGACAGCATGTCCAGACTCCACGAGCATAATTTGCCGTCTGTCGAAATGCTGATCAGATTGTGCGCATTCTGTGTCCCGACAACGCTCAAGCAGTACACCGGATGCTGCAGAACAAAGAATGATTTTCTCAACCTTGTCAAAACCTTTTCATTTTTGCTCTATAAAGGGTTGCCACAAATTCTTCATTATAAAATTCCGTGACTTTTCCCTAATTTCCAGACAAAATTTCAATATAATTTTCCCTGACTTTCAATAATATTAAAACATTTTTTGTATGTGTTCGTCTTGATTTGGAAACTGTTAAATATTTTATTGAAAGCAATTTAACATAGCAATGTAAATTACTATTACTGTTGTTGAGATTGTTTGCACTTAATTGTTAAGTTGTTAGTATTCCTTTATGTTTTTCTTTTGTCTATGTGCGCACAATTTTTATCTTCTGCTTAGAATACAAGGAACATGTAAATATTGTTTCTGTTTGATAAAAGCTAAATTCTGTTTATTGGAATCTCCGATTTGCTATTATATAAAAGTTTACAGATTTGTAAGAAAAATTACAAAAATATGAAGTTAATTTTAATTTTATTAATTTGTTCATAAGTAACACAAGAAACTTACGAGTTAAAAAAAAACGGTTTTAAATAAATTTAACACTCCAACAAAAAGTAGACAAATTAAAAATTCTAAGTACTCTTAATGAAGCATTTTTAATCTCTATTAAAAAGAGAATTTATTAACAAAACTGTATAAGTGTGTGATATACGCATATTAAAGTTTTTTAAAGCCAAGAATTTTAATTCTCTACAAAATTTTGTAAAATTCCCTGACTTTTCAATTACAATTTTCGGTTTATATAACACGTGGCCGCAAATATTTTTTTATTTTTTTTTATGTACAAAATGACGGCGCACTGGCTTACTTGCGGAATCTCTTTTTTCAAATCGTACAGAATTCGAGGCACACGGTTTGACCTTGAACAAAACACAAAGAATTTTCATTATCTACATATTAAAGACTATAGAGATATGTACGTAGGGGTTTTTTAAAATATTGATTTTTCTCAAAATGGCAGCTATTTTTATGAACAGTTCGTATTTTGTCAATACAAGTCTTTCGTAAAATAGCTGCCATTTTGAAAAAAATCAATATTTTGAAAAATCCCTACATACTTCTCTAGTCTTTAATACATAATAAAAATTCTTTGTGCTTTGTTTAAGATCAAACCGTGTGCCTGGAATCCTGTACATCGATAGAAAAAAAGGGATTCCGCAAGTGTAGGCCAGTGCGCCGCCATTTTGGACATAATAAGAATAAAAAAATATTTTTTTTGGTTTCTTATATATGTACAATAATGTCCTCTAGGCAGATTTTAAATAAAGTTATCCATTTACCCACAAAAAATCCCACAAACTTAAGATACCATTTTAAAACTTCAAGGATGGTGTAACCCCTCAACTAGCTAACTGATATATGTCAAAGTGATATATGTCAAAGTGGTAAGATCACTTACGGTGTGCGCAGTGGCGGACAATGGGGTACGTTGTATGGGAGTCCTCTTTTGCACTCGATTGTCCCAGAGCACGATTTGACCGGAGTAGGTGCCGCCCAGGATCAAGTTCGGATGGAATCTGGCGAACGTCGTGGACATAACGGGCGACTGACAGTGAAAGATAAACTCTGGGGTTGTTTTCTTGAATTTCGTGTTCCAGATCAGGCACACGCCGTCAGGATCGTTCGGTGTGTCGTCGTTGTTGTTGTACGAGGCCGCTAAAAGCTCGGGGAACTGTGGAGACCAATCCATGGAAGTCACACAACGATTACGAGACCATCGCTCACAGATGAACGAGCGATTCAGCCAGAGCCGTTGATGGCTCTTCTCATCCCTGCAAATTCAGAACGGAGTCATTTACATCTAAACTATCAATATAAAGACAAGTTCGTAACACACACATACTCATGTACGCACGCACGCACACAATGTAATAACAATTAAATTTTAAAATAGGCCAAACTAACGAGCACTAATATAAGGTGACACTTAAATACAAAATATAAAATTTATTAAAACGAGCAAACGCGGATTGCTCGTTTTAATAAATTTTATATTTTGTATTTAAGTGTCACCTTATTAGTGCTCGTTGGTTTGACTTATTTTAAAGTTTGATTGTCATTTACATAAAGCAGAACGTGCATTTACTATCTCAAGCAGCTATACTGCCTTGGAAAAAAATTGATAAAAAAAAATTTTCCAGTTGTAGCTTTCTGCTTACATTCCATCTTCGCCGTCCATAGTGCCAGCATAATCGGTGTAGATGTCAACCGATTCGCCTAACGCTCTCTCCACGATTCTACTGGTGCGATCGAGAAATCGTTGGAAGTCCTCCGATAGGATAATCATTTGCTTCTCTTCTTCGCTAAGCTCTCGCACTGTGGAAATTAATAAAAGGATCAAGATTTCTAATCAGCCGACACAACTGACAGTGTGATCAATGATCTACGCACCTTCTTTCTTAGGCTTCTCTTTCTCCTTCTCTTGTTCTATCTGTGTAACGGCAGGCTGGACTTCCTTAACTTGCGGTAATCCGTGAGACAGAATTCCCGGTGGAAGCTTACTCTGGAAACCGTCCATGTGCGGCAAGCTATTTTCCTCGTCTTCGGCTTGGCCATCATCAAATGTCAAAACTGTGGTGAATAAGCTGGTTCCGCCACAAGTACCCTAACTTGGATGTAACTACCTAGCTACTTGATCTACCTATTTTACTTAAAAGTCGACTGATATTCTAACAAATCCATTAAACCTTTCAAAAGTACTACTGCTTTCATATTTAAAAAAGACGGGGAAAAAATTTACTTTTTGATAAATATATTGAAACGCTTTAAAGAATATTTATAACGCAATAATCTATTATTTTGAAGTAACATCTATAAAAAAAAAACAACACTGTGCATTCTGCTAAAATCCTAACATTTGTTTTTACAACATTTTCGTATTTGTCTTTACACTTCAAGTGTTGAAAAAGGTTACATGCCAGCGTGTTATTTAGAAAAAAGAAAAAAAAAACAAATTACGTTTTATTTATCTTCATAACAAAGCGATATATGTTCTCTAATATAAATTGCACAGGTAGCTACCGATTTTCAAATATTTAAGTAACGAAACCTTATTTCAAAGGAGCAACATCTAGAAGCATTGATAAATGCCATATCAAGTAATTTACCATGCTAGAAAAACGTAAGGTTTCGTATATACGGAAACAAAATTATGAGTGTGAGCCTAGATGACATGCAAAATTAGCCACATGTACGAAAGATGGACTGCTTGTTGGTGGACTGTCAATGAATAATGTCGATTTTATACTTTTTGATTTTATAATATAGTTTTTCCCATTTTATCTTCTTTTTTTCAATTTTCAATTTTTTTCTCTCAATCTCTCCACCCTTTGTTGGCATGCAGTTTCAATGAAGTGACACGATGCGAAGAAAAATGAATGTGGACATTACGAGTAATAAGAGATTATTAATTTTCCCTTTACCGGTAATTACTAATTAGTTAATTATTATATTACTGATTATGTAATTTCACTATTCAACAAAAAAAAAAACTCGAAAAAAAAAGAACAAGGAAAATTATTTCTCGCGATTTCTTGGGTATTGAATACAATCTTGTTTACCAAATTGTTTTATCATATATCAGAATTTTGAAAAATTTGTAAGTTAAAATAGTAAAAAGGGTTATTCAGGGTTATCCTTTGATATATTATAACTACGATATATGACATGTTACAGAAGTTCTATTGCAAACGACATTAAGTATGACGTAGACCTTAAAAGGAATTTATGTTTAAAAAAATACTTGAAATTAATATAAGAACTATTGCAACAAAGTTGCAATTTATGTATAATCTATAAAATATTTTTTAATTATATTAAGTATTCAAATTTAAGAGTTTTTTCCGATCGGTGAATATTAATATAATATCAAAGTTGATAAATTCAAAATAGAAAAATTAGAATAGCAGATGTTAAAATTGAAAAATGTTTGAATTTTTCGAACAATTCACGTAGGAGTTTCTCATCAAATGTAAATTAAATTTATTAACTTTCATATCAGATTAGTATTCAACGATCTAAAAAAACTCCTTAAATTTGAATAACAAAAAATATTTTTTTGAACTGTATTTCAAGACTGACGAAAATTGCGGCGCGCAGTTTGTATGTAATTGAATATAACAACAAAAATTATTACACCCGTGTCGACTCGCATAGACATTACTTCAATATATTTGATTTATTCTTACGAGCTAATTTAGCCTTCAATTTAAATTTATTTAAAAAATATTTGACAGATTCTTAGTGATCTATACAAATCGCATTGAGGCAATAAAAATTCTATCTAGTCATAAATAATTTTAATCGACACAACAAATTTCTTTTAAGCAAAGTCCTAATAACATACTTAATTTTGATTGCAATAAAACTCCAATACAATAAATATCGTAATTGTAATATGCCAAACATAAAAAGTACTAAAATAGCTCTTTATGCTTTATACTTTAACTGCATATTTTTAAAAATTGTGACATAATAGAATAATTTGATAAATGTAGATTGTATATTTAGTATCCAAAAAATTACTTATCTTCGTACTTATCTTCGTTCTAGTACTCAAAAGTTTTTTTTTTAATTGAACAGTGTTATTAACAGGATTCACGTGTAGGATGTGACAATTGCGTGAGGTTTCACCATCTATTTCTTATAACACTAAATGTCGTATAATAATTAATGGTAAATAAATGAAAATTAATGAACAATGAAATCGGAAAGAAGTGGGTTTTCAGCCGCGATCGTGTGAATTAATACTCTTTTAAATGATGCAGCAATAAACGAGTGGAGACGATTTAACGCAACTTTCCAGGTCTCATGCAGTACCGATTGAAATTGCAACATCTACAATTGTGACAAATAAAATGAAATAGGCAAGATTCTCTGTCGCTCCATCAAAAATAATAAAGAAAAAAAGTTAACAAATTCCTGATTAAATCTTAATTAAAGTGCTAAATTCTAAATATCTTCAGTCATTCAAATAGCTCACAGTGTATACCGTCTCAAAAACGATACAAAGCTGAATATTTCTTGCATGCGCGATACATAAAGCAGACTTATCTCATTTACGTAAAGAGAAAAATAATATAAAAAAAAATATTTATATATATATATAATAAAGCAAATTGTCAAGCAATTTGTAAACGCTAGCGGCAATTCCCTCTCTTCAGTGCATATATAAGACAGAGACGACAAATTGCAAAGAAAGTTAAGTGAAGATAATACATTTAGGAATAATTACTTTGTGAGAGTGTGAGGTATAGAATTATGGACATGTCTTGTGAGATATTTATATTATTAGGTAAAGTGAATCGTCTCTAGAGAGGAATTACCTACCTGTAAATTCGTCCTCCCATTCTAAACCAGGATTTAGATTGTACTCGTCTTGAAGGAAGGAAAAGAAAACGTCAATCAATTTGATATCCTATTTGCCGGAATTGTTTGTAGCGCTTTTTAAATATGTATCTCTTTTTAAATAGGCATTATTGATGCATAATGATACATGTACAAAAGCTAAAAGTTACTTGAGTCTTTTATCTAATTTTATTAACGGCTCTAACGTGAAAGATCTCGAATTTTCTACTGTTACATCATTCTCGCAATAACACGTCGCAATACAAGATTCAATTAACTTTTCTTATTTTGTCATGCAAAATACATCAACAATCGTTTAAGAAACTTGAAAGTAGCAATTAAAATTGATAAATCAGAGTTGACGTATTTACATGCGTACAATATTCCCATTAGCAACGGCTCTGTATATCACAGAGTACGTTTTTAAATATTGATTCATTCACTAAAGAGTTTAATGAGAGAAGTCTCTTACTTCTTAAAATATTTAAAAGTTTTTTCACATCTTCGCTTAAATATTGAATGAACAAATTCATAGAAATCTTCGTTCTCATTTTCAATATATTGTACAATGTGTTTGGTTTAATTGTAAACATTCAGTTATTCTCTTAAATAATGGAGTTATACAAACATTTTTCAAATAAATTATTTTGTTTAAGAAGATTTATCTAACAACTTAAACAAAAGTTTTTAATTAGTTTTATTAATAAATACTTTTTTATATTATATTTATTTTTTTTTTCATCATACTTGAAGCAATACAAGTGGCAATATTTCATAAATGACTGTCAAAAATCACACTTTATTGGATATTATTAAACTTGTATTAAAAATATCTTACAAAACTCTGTAATAAAATAGATATAATCCATAAGAAAAATAAAACTCATAAAAAATATTTTAACAATTTTTAAAACTAAAATTTTTATTTTTTCGTTTAAATTATATACAATAAATTTTCTTAAATAAAATCACTTTTATTTAAAAAATATTTTAATAACTGTTATTAAAAAAAAATAACTGAATGTATACACTTAAGTTACACGTACTACGTCATTTCAAGATTCGTTCTCTTTCTCGCGTTAATTGATATAAAATATAACGAGGTAGGATATTTCTCGGAAAATAAATGTGGCGCGAAAACTCATTATCAGTAAATTTCAGAAAAAAGTTTCCATACCAACCAAAATGAAGACAAGAAAGGGATCATGAAATTGAAATAACGATTTAATACAACGTACTGACATCTCCGACTGTTGAAATAAACATGTTCTTTCCAGTTCTTTCGATTGACGAGATTCGAGATATTTATAGTAATTATCTTCTGAAAATTGACTGGCGGCGAAAACAAGCCTGTCAACGTTCATAAGATAGAAGAAAAGTGCGCGATGTACATATTTTGAGAATGCTGTACGTCTATACTGCGATATATTTGTGGATCGCAGCATACACAGGGGATAGAGAAACTAATTTGAACACGTGAGAACTACTTGTTTTATCAATAAGATATCACTATTTGCGTCTTTATAGATTCTATTCTTGTTGAAACAGAGCTCAAACAATGCTTGAACAGTCAATATGCAATGTTATACCATTCTTCTAGCAGAACGACTTCTAATTGCTTTAGAGATATTGGAAAATAAAAAAATCTGTTCTTAAAAACTCAATGATTCGATGATATTTAAATCAGGTAATTGCATCAGGAAAGATGATGGAAAATAGAGAAGCAAATTTCTACCCCCCCCCCCTCCCAACATCATGTTTACGCATATAAACATATATTCAAATTATATAATGAAATACGTATTGAATTATATACATTAAAAGATGTTCTACAAAAAGAATAATACAACAATTGATTATTAATGGTCATTTAAGCATTTTATAAGTTTATTCCAACACAGGTAAATCTGTATTAAAAGCAAATGGTGAGTTTTTATGAACAAATACACGGAGAGAATTTCCTTTTAAAATTTATCCCGAAAATCATGTTAATCGTGGGACACGACATAAGATAATATTTCGACAAATTTTACTGTGTACTACAATAAATTTGTTGCAGTATATATTAAAAAAATATAGTGAAAATCATATAAAATTCGTCGAAATACTATGTTGTCCTACGATTAGCATGATTTTTAGGGTAATTTTAAAAATAAAATTCTCTCCGTGTAGTATATTCCAGATGTTCGCGTTATTTTGTCCATCTCCTGCATATATCTGTCGTTTTAACTCTATTATAATCTACCGACTTTGTTGCTACGCCACCCACGTGCTGTTAAGAAGCAAAATACCCTGTGACCGAGGAACATTTTGTAAAAACAAAAAAAATGTTCCTGCGTCACTAAAAGCTCAAGCGGCATATCCTCATATAAAAATATTAAGATGTTATACATCAGAGATAAGTAAATTGATTATAAAAACAGAGTCAGAGTGTAATACGGGAATAACGTGTGTAATATGTTATCTTCAACTTGTGTGAGTTTAGTTAATATCCCACAACACCTTAGCTCTAAAAAGATTGCTTCCATGTTAGTAAGCATTCGTGATGCGTTAGCATTCCCAAAGAGATTTTAGGTACCGACCGTGAACATCGCGCCGAGAACTCTGGAAGGTGCGTTAAGTTGTGACAAGATTTGCCAATGGATATTTCACTCGAAAGATTCCGATACCCTTGATACGCCACGATGAGACGGCATCGAGAATACCATTAATACAGTTGTCAGAGCTTTATACATTATACCGTTTCCGTTAAACATACCGTAATTCAATTTGCTTCTCTTTAACCTCATATTTTTTTTATAAAGACAATTTTTTTTTTGGTAGCATGCCTATTGTATAAAATTAGTGATTACGTAAAAGAGACAGAGCTAGAAAATATTGCGAAAATCCAAGTGTCTTGAAGAAACCAGGAAACGTTGGAAACCATTTTCAAAATTTATGCCATGCGTCCCGAGAATCAGATATATACGGATAGATTCGTGTGGTGTGCCTGATAGCCAGATATTTTCTTTGCTAGAGTCGGGATGTCAGATTAAATATTTGGAAAATAATAGATACGGTAAATAAGAATAAATACACCCCCAAAAAATATAGGCAAACTTAACGAAGAAGAGAATATATAAAAGAGAGGTATAAAAGCATATATCCATAAGAAAGCAAAGACCGATTTAGGCTCTGGGTGGAGAGCTATTTTGCATTTCCTTACTGACATTTCCTATGGAAAAAAAAGAACGCTAAATTCTGGCGATGGGTACTTCTTCATCCGTTTTTTATGCGACTATAACTATTCCGAATAAAGGCAAATAAAAGCACTATCCAGTATGTTGCGAATGTCAATTAATTTCATGTAACGAAACGTACTGATGAGCTACGAACAGCACACGCTACATTTTTAGCGGGCAAATTATAAATTCAGTAATAATTTCTCTTATTTTACCACATATTCGTTTTGGCGTGAATAATTTAGAATTTAGAATAGCATATGTGAAATTTGATCTGAATACGCGCTACTTTACAACCAAGTATCGTAATCCTCAATTCTCGCATAAGTACCTTTTTTTTTTCTTTTAGGAAGATCGTTGTCTCAAATAATACAAACTGAATACAAGCTAAACCTAACTCTGAACCTAAAAGTCGTTTTCTGAACCAAGAGAAATCATAACTTACCGTAATAGTCGAATGCATGAGCTGAGAAGGGGAGGGAAAAAAATTGTACTTAGTTACGATATCATAAGAATGCACTACGCTAATAACACCTCTCTACACTCAGACTTATTTGTTAGTTCCAAATTAAAAATAAAAAAAAAAAACAATTTACAGCAAAATTCAAAATTGCACAAAAGGGTGGCAAACAATTTTGTAATACGTTTGGCGATTTGAGGAATATTCAATTGTATACCTTAGGGATAACAAGATATAAATTTTTAAGTGCTTTATAATTTGTTTGAGAAAATTTTTCCAAAGAAAACGGATAACAAATGAAATCATAGTGTTCCACGTGATTTTCGAATATCTCGTACCTTAAAATAAAAAATATTACGCTGAATGTAGTTAGGTGAGTATAATTTTGTAAATTCTTATAAGTGGTGCTTCGGTTCCTATGTATAAGAGGAAACGTACATATTCAGAATATTTTATCATTTTTAGGGTAATTAATATTTTATATTAATATCATCTTTTATGTTCAACACTTTCGTTTATCAGCGATTGTTTATTAGATATTGATCCAATATTGTGACGAGAAATTTCGGTGATGAAATTTTTTATCCCTAGCAATAGATGCTCTTTAACGAATGAATTGCAATATCTCACTTACATCCCTTGTCACACTTATGCCCACCCCCTAAGTCTCTCTCAAAAATAAAATGTTGCCGCCATTGTTCTTGTTAATATGAGAACAATAAAGCATATGATTTTAAAAGCGACGTATGAACATTTGTCTATTAATGTTAGAGTATACATATATATTGGTAATTAACACTTTATCAAGAACATTAAAAAGTATCACGAAAGGAGCTATTTTTATATATACATATATATATATATATATTTATTAGAGATTATTATGATTTTTTGTATTTAAAGGTATAAATTTGAAGAAATATATTCTATGTGAGCACAAATACCAATTATCTACCAGCACGCATGAGTCATGGTATGACAATCTTGTAAGAATTTCAGTTCAGTAATCGTAATCCGTATGTTTTTCCCAACAAACAGGACGCCTAGAGTTAATGTGCTGTGTAATCTTAACTCTCTGTCAGTTAATTAATTCATTAAATTATTGAAGCGTGAGTAAGCTTTTTTTCTTTCGTATGCAAGCAAACGGTTATCTGTGTATGTGGAAGTAAAACTGTAAAAAGTCTCTTAAGGCTGAGAGAGCCTAATAATGTGAAATGTACTTGCGATGTAAAAACTTTATCAATAAGTACAATATTTGCAGTAAACATAAATTTCCACATACAAAACTTTTTTGCAGCACAATTCAAGATATAAAATAGATCATCATAGCGACTTGTGTGTGTAATCTTCATGACTCCTCGTTGTCTTCATTGAAATATATGAAGAACGAAAAATCAAAGATTTGCGGAGCAGATGTTTAAAAAGCGCAAAGCACCCCAATGGTTAGACTCTACATTCCCTCGCTCGGTACGCGCGACAGTAATCTCTACCTTCCGATGTGTATCTCTACCTCTATAACGTAACGTCGTACGACAATTATGGAAGGGTAGTAAAAAAGTAGACAGAACATACATAGGTAGTTTGGTGCAGACCCACCTTTCCTGGGACGCCACCAGTCAGTCTCAAAGTAGCCTGCGGAGCAAGAGTGAGTTGGTGTTGTTGTTGAACAGGAGGAGTAGATGGTGTATGCAGAGGACGATGTGGACAGTCCTTGTGTCCAACACCGGATGAATCGATCAGATTGTATCGCAAGACAAGGGAACACGCGTATATGTTTAATTAATACCGCAAGATCAGTTAGGTAACAAATATATAAAAATATTATATGTGTATATATGCGTATATATGTGTATATATTTTTATATAAACTTTCTTGTCCGTCCATTCAAAATAACAAACTGGACAATAGGATCTACAAGAATATACAATCTTAAGGGAAAATATTTTTTCCCTGACAGAATTTGTTATAGCAAACATTGGGCTATCTTTCTTCACAGTAAAGTAGGTGGTCAGAAATATGTTAATCATTAACATACATTGTGATCAGTTTCGTATTTGTTAGTAGATTGTAAGACTGTGAGATTAATCGTCAGAGAAACATATGATGTTTATAGTACAGGTGTTTAAGAACTAACTGAATTTGCGGTTGCGTGTGTAATGGAAATGAAAATGTTGTATGTAGGAAAATGTTGCCACCACCAAAAACTTAACTTAAACCAAACCCAGATTGATTGTTAGATGCTTACTACCCGTTATATACTGATTAATATATTTGTAACACACATAATCTAAGGCTCACAATAAAAACTGTTATTTATGTGTTCAATTATAATAATGTTTTGTAATAATTAAAATATAGCAATATATATTACTCATTTTTCTTATATATTATTCAAATGTTGTTAGTGTATATATGTTTAAACATGTGCTGATTATAATATTTGTGTCACTACATAAACACAACATGTTATTCCTTTAATACAGAGTATTGTTTTAGTAACAAAATATAAAAAAATCATGTAAAAGTGTTGAAAACTGTTCGTCCTTCACAGATAACGGAAGGAAAAGTGCAAAATGATAATTGTGATGTAACGAATTTTTAAATTCGTGTTTTAGGAATATGTAAGTTTCCTCGCCTTTAAAATTAATTATAAGAAACAATTTGGAGAGTTAACTCAATCTTAATATTATCCGTCGTTCCAAAATTAAAAATTAAAAAAAATTGCGCGTGATTAATAACATCTTAATTTACTTCATTCGTAGTTAATACATAAAATAACAAAAAATACTGTTAAAATTTCATACATATGTGGTTACAGACAAGTTGTAACACAGTATTAAAAAAAAAAACATATAAATATATATATATATATATATATATTTATGTTTTTATATATATATACCATGGTATATATAAACATATATATTATTTTTTAAATAAACCACCCACTTTACCATAGTCAATCGTTTAAAAGTTTGTTGATGTAAAAACTATGGAATAGGATGTGTAAATTGATGATATTTCAGTGATCTCAAAACACGCACTGTGTGAACGCGCTATAAACATGTGAACTGTACGTTAAAGTGAATATTAATAATTAATGGAATTATTTGCAATAAAATGGCAGGAAATAGTTAATGATTATACTCATGTATAAGATATAACGATATTTAACACGCATCTTGTAACCAATTAATCAGAGAAACTTGGAAAGCTAAACGCGATTTAAATTCCATCAATATTTATGTAAGTAAAAACGCTGTGAATTAAATATCACGTGTTTTTTTTTCTAATGTCTAAACGTTTCTTTGCGATATCACGAGTGAGATGTAACACATATGTGCAATATAAATTCATAGAGAAAAATATTGACTCACCGTCGTGGGATGTATGGGTGGTCTGAATGGTTTGCGTTTGCTTGCTGTAGACGACCGGTTCTTTTGGTGGAATGTTCGTGTGAGCCACGGAGACAATCGTAAGTTCGCGATTCTTCCGTCGTCCTGCGCTGCTTTATACCACAACAGACCAAGTTATAAACATGGTCTCAAAAGAATTGCAAAGACACAAAGAAAATTATAAATAATTATACCTTTGAGCAGAATTTATACTAGACGGTTGTAAGCTGGCGTCTGGTGTAGCATTAGCGCTCTGTTCAGGCGTCAGCGAGCTCATACTGGATAAACTAGAGAGCACGTCTGTAAGTAAACAGAAGTCATTAGGATGTTATACAGGGAAAGACACATGCCACAAAAAATCAAACATGTAGTTATATACCCGATACTGGTGCCACACCCAAAGAAGATAGCATCGCGTCTATCTCCTTGCGCTGATCCTTGTCCGTGCCAGCGGCACGAACGGTAGCTTCTTCTACCTATAATTCATAAGGGAATCGTTTTTCCATTACAAGTACGTATTTAGCTAAGTACAAGAAACTAAAAGTATCTCATTTATAAGAGATATTTCTTATCCCTTACATCTTTCTGTTCTTTCTCCCTCCTGCGTCTCTCCTTCTCTTCTCTAATAGCTTGGAGCTTCGCCTTCTTCCTTTCTAGCTCGGCTTTCCGATCGGACATCATCTTGTCTAGATGACTCTTGTCTCGACTAGAAATATCTAAAAAAAATTATATTACAAACCTCTGAATTGATATATTTAAATTAAGTATAAGGTTTATTTTTATAATAAATGTTTCGTTCTTGTAGTTATTTGTGCACTCGATTACGATTTGTGCAATAGATATTTATTTGGAGGAAGCAAGAAAAAATTTTAGCACGCAGTCAAGACAAGCAGCGACAAAGAAGAGGCCTAAAGTATATGCACATTTTAGAGGAAAGAGATTGACGTGTAAAACTAGTCGAGGGAGTTACCACGAATAAGTCCAATGCAGTTATTGATTTCTCCCAGCGATGACGTCAACTCGGGTCAAATCATAGGTAATGTTAAAACTACCGTTATACATCAATTACATGCAAAACTAACACCACCTTCTCAGGTTTGCACCCGAGCTATCCAGAAGGACGGCACCGGCTTAGGCGAAATTAATTAGCATTGTGTGAACACGATGAGACTTTAGACAACGCACCGACTCGCGCTCGATCGAATCTCCGGGACTATGTCGACGTAACGGTGTGCCAATTGATCGTTAACGCGAATCAAACGACGGAAATGGCGCAGACTCACCTTCGCTACGGACAACGAGCGGAACGAGCACAGCGAGCGATCTAATATACAAGTCTGCTATTCAATTTTACATTATTTCAAAGAAATGTACATCAGTCTACGATCTCTACGATCCTCCACAAGCACCAATATGACGTCTAGTGACATCTATGATTGTTGGTTATCAGAAAATTTAACAGATGTCGCTTTTATAACCAGTAGATCCACTCAAGGCGTCTTTTCATACGCAACACGCAGCAGCAGCAAAATGTCACGTGATTCAAATTTTTCAGAATCGTTCTCACCGCATTTGTTGCGCATGAAAAGGAATTTTGCAGTAATTCATATTGAAGTTTAACCTTAATTTATAATATAATATAAATAGCGATATATCTATTGAGTATATCTATTGTATAATTGCATTTTAACGAATCTTATTATATTGACAATTAAATAATCCTGTTCTGGCTCATAGCGCATTATTTAATTTATTAATAATCAATTTTTTAAATTATAATATAAGATCATTTTATAATAATCAAGTTTAAAAAGTTTTTGCGGTTTATCATTTACGTTTTCGATGTCGATAGATTGAATTAGATGATCTCAATCGCGCGTATACATATGTATACAGGGTGTCTCATAATAGGTGTATCACCGTTTATGGGTAGATAGAACAGGCTAAACTAAACAGAAAAGTCCTTTACCATTTTGCAAAATTCGCAATCGTTAACAAGATATTAATTTTTGAAGATCGGCGAATAAACTTAATATCTCGTTAATAAATGCGAATTCTACAAAATAATAAAGAACTTTTTTGTTCAGTTTAATCTATTTATCTTGCCACACACTTGCATTCAGCGGTGGGCCGGATGAATACGCGTTTATTCGTCAATCTTCAAAAATGAATGTCTGGTTTACGATTGCGAATTTTGCAAAATGGTAGAGAACTTTTCGATTCAGTTTAGTCCGTTCTACCTACCCATGAACGGTGATACACCTATTATGAGACACCCTGTATATATATATTATATACAATTTTAAAATACATTTATTAAAATTTTTTTCAATACATTTAAAGAATTTTTATATATTTCTATACATTTATAATTAATCTTAATATCATTGTTTTATATATATAAGCAAACCTAAAGAAACTTAGCTACTCAAGTATATTCCGTACCACTCAAGTATATTCGCAAATACGTACCTCTATTTATTGGAATTAAAGCTTTGATCTTTTCTTACGGTAACTAATGCCTTCTAAAATTCCGTAAATTTAATTGTGTTGCTAAGTAAGTGCTACGTGATAATACATATATAGTTTTTAGCAAACATCGATAAACAATAGTATCAAATTTAAACAAATATAATCCATTTACAATCATTATTCCATAAGCAAGAATATCGAAATAATCTTGCAAGAAATTATTTGCTAATATAATGTGTAATAATATGTGTAAAAGAAGATTTACGATGTTTCGAATTATTATTGATACATACTAAAAAATTTCTTAACACTTTTATCGATGCGCAAGTACGTACACTGAGAAAAAAAATGGATTGTACGAACTAAATTTGTATAGTTGTTTGATCCAATAGTTGATTCAACAATTCTTTAGTACGTCGCTCAAAAAAAGGTGTAGTTCAATCATGTCAAAATTTTTTAATCAAGAATTAATTAAACCAACTCAATTAAATTATTTTGTTTGAAATGCTAGTAGTATTTATTTGTGTTTACATGTTTTTATAGTTATTATAGTTTAGTTAAACTATAGTATTTTGTTTATAATAGTAACAAATTATTTTGTGTCATCGTAGTAACGTTCAGTTGAACATATCGGATTAAATATTTTGGAAGATGAAACAAATTTTGCGTTTTTCAACAAATTTTTTTTCTCACTGTATAAAAACGTAACGTTAAAATAATTTAAGTAGGCGAGTCAATTTACCAGTTTAGTCAAAAATTCATTAGGTGCAGAAATTAAATAATTTTCTATCCTAATAATTATTTAAAACTATTAATAGGAATTACGCACACGCACGAACGCACGCACGCACGCACGCACGCACGCACACACACATACACACAAACCCGTTTTTGTTAAAGATTTTGTTGGTTGTCTGTTAATTAACGTTAAAACATTATTATACAACATTATACGATTAATTTTTACATTACTTTGCCTCTCGAGAAAAAATGATCTATATATACATATGATCTATATAATCATAAATATATGTATACAATTTTATAAAATTATTTATAATTATACATACATATGTATTATATAAAGTCATATACAATTATATGCAACACTACACAAAATTATATGTAACTACATATAATCTTATATTGTACATATATATACATATATAGTTGTATAATTTTATACGGTATTACATATAGTTACAAATAATTATATATAATTTTATATAATCATACATATTTATATATAATTATTTATGAGTTATTATTCCTGAAAGTTATTCTTTATCCGTCTGAAATTAACTACTCCATGTTTAAGTTAAAAGAATTCATTAAAGTGTGGCGGTACTAACGCACGTACAAGACTAATAAAGTATAATAAGCAATTATAATTGCTACATTAATTTTAGTATTAAAAAGTTTCTAGAATTATTTATTCTTAGAATATTCCGATATGGAATTTTTTAAAATTGTTTTTTGATTAAGTTAAAGAATCCATCAGAAGCGTGGCGATGCTAGCAAACGTACAAGAGCAAAAAATATACATATTAAACAACTTAATTACTGCATTAATTTTGGTTTTAAAAAGTTTCTAGAATTATTTGATTTTACAACATTCCGGTCCGGAATTGATTACTCCTCGTTTAAGTTGAAAAAATTCATCAAAGATGTAGCGGTGCTAGCACACGTACAAGAATGAAGTATAATAAAACAATTAATTGCTACATTAATTTTAGTGTTAAAAAGTTTATAGAATTATTTACTCTTAGGATGTTCCGGTATGGAATTTATTGTTCTTTGTTTAAGTTAAAGTATCCATCAGAAGTGTGGCGAGATGCTAGCACACGTACAAGAATAAAGTACATATTACAATTTAATTAATTTTGGTTTTGAAAAGTTTCTAGAATTATTTGATTTTACAACATTCCGGTCCGGAATTTATTACTCTTCGTTTAAATGAAAAAATTCATCAAAGATGTGGCGGTGCTTAGCGCACGTACAAGACTGAAGTATGATAAAGCAATTAATTAATGCATTAATTTTGGTGTTAAAATGTTTTTAGAATTATTTACTCTTAGAATATCTCGGTCCGAAATTGCTCTTTGTTTAAGTAGAAAAAATTTATTTCTGCTACGTACTAATTATAAGTTATTAGCATTTTGACAACCAACCCCGTACGACAACCGGCCCCGGTCTCCCCTATTTGGCGTGAGACACTACCGTGTCTCTTGATTATTTCATTTTTGAGTGGAATTTTATTGTTAGAAATTTAGGAAGACGTGACTTATTGAGTTACTATTCATTTCGAAACGACAAGACCATTATTGCCGATCATTATTGCGAGTGAGGAATTGGACACATGTTAGCATGACTCAGCAAATAAAATGCGCATTGTTGCACTTATCTTTGTCACCTTGAGAGTTAATTACTTGCATTTAACTGCTATTTAAATAATAAGCTGCTTATGCTTTGGCAGCGACTATTTTAAGTCATTATTATCATTATTATTACCATCAATTGTATATTACAAGCTAAATTTTATATTAAATGTATAACTATATAAATGTTGTCTTGTACTAAACAGTTTTTCGTCATCGCTGTAATGATTGTCATCTTAATCGATCTAGAGCTTTAACATCGCCTTGTCAGTCATATAATGGTACAAATGCTCTAGATATTTTAGGATATAACATCTTTGCAAGACTTGTTGCGTCTGCGATTGCTGTTGTAGCATCAGAGATATAAATTTTTTATTGGTTGTTATTGCTATTTTACTAATAATAAATAAATACGTAACTCAAAATATTATTTATGACCGCTTTGTGTGCTATATATGGCTGTATAGTATCTGCGGATCGAGCGGTGATCGCGCCAGCAGCTACGAATGCTAATAGATTCGAGTTGTAGCCAAATCCAACTCGCGAAGTGGGTAGACAAAAATATATTTATAAAAAATATATACAACACTGCGATCTCTTACAGCTAAAAATCGAAATTTTCTGTCTCAAACTACTGTCTTAAGATATTGCATAAAGAAGGGGTACAAACTTTCAAGGATTTTATGACTGCTCAGATATCGTTTTATTTCTATATTTTCTTATGTAATATTTTTCTTTGATAGAAATCGAAAATTATCATTATAATAACATCATTGAGGAAAAATTCGTACATGGACACGTTTGCACGAATTGTTTAAAATAACATCATGCTATGTAGGAGAATCAGCCGTTTTAATCATTATGTACGTCAACTTATTACATCCAAAGTTAAAATTTACTCTTGAGATTGGGAGTGACAAACTAAATTTTTTGGATGTTATTATTATTAAGAATAACAATTGGTTGGAATTCGATTGGTTTCATAAACCAACATTCTTCAGAAGGTACCTCAATTTCATGTCGTCACATTCGTTGTCACAGAAACGTGTAGTAATCATGGGCGCAGTGGACAGAGCTTTCCTCCTATCGGAACCGAAATACCATGTAAAGAACTTAGAGTTTAGTAGTTTGTGAGTACTTTTTTAAAAAACGATTATCCACTGAACTTTATTATGGACACGATCGGTAAACGATTAAGATTTCTTTTTGCGCAAAAACATCAGAAAAGTTCTGAATCCACAACATTAGAAACGGAGACTAAAGAGAAATGGTTTGCAGTACCGTACATTCAAAAAATTTCTGAGAAATTTATTAGTATAGCGAAGAACGTGCGGGGGCAAAACTAGCTTTCTTTAGCATTAACAAACTCGATAACATAATTAAAGCACACAAAGACACTCTTCCACGCGATAATAGGAAAAACGTTGTCTACAGAGCCTTGCATAGACTGCGATGCAGCCTATTTCGGACAAACGAAGAGATAGCTTAAAACCAGGGTCTCTGAACATAGAAACGACATCAATCATAAAAATCCACATTCGATAATTACCAAGCATAGGCTGCATTTAGCTCATGAAATGGATTGGAAGAACGTCGAAATAT